GTAGGTGACCTTTCTACATTCCTTGGTCATAGGAGAAGTAAGAATTGCGGTGTTCCTCTCAAAGGGGCGTCTGGAAAGCCACAAGAGGACTCCACACCTCCCTAAGACCCTACGATTTGCCTAAGAACCTCCAAAATAAGAGAAACAATATTCCCTACATTGCCCTGATAAGGAAGAATATGGGTTTTGAAAAAAAAACCGAGCCCGAGAAGTCGTGAGCCGTGCTCTTGTGGGGCGATGAGGCGCCGGGCAGCGCAGCTTGCTCCTCAAGCCGCTTGGCTCTTCTGAGGGCTTTTGTAGCGGGTTAGGGTTTAGGGTTTAGGGTTTAGGGTTTAGGGTTTAGGGTTTAGGGTTTAGGGTTTAGGGTTTAGGGCCTAAGGTTTAGGGTTGAGGGTTTAGGGTTTAGGGTTTAGGAGCCCCTAGTAGCTGCAGCGAAATCTCTAAGCCCCATACAGATTTTGCTTCGTCAGATTTTGGACTTGTGGTGTCGGGTTTGCAGTTGCGGGGTTTCGGCTCGCGGCACTTAGGCTTCAAAGCTTCGGGTTTAGAGGTTTCAGGGTGCAGAATAGGGTTTAGGTTTCGGGTTTAGGGTTTAGAGTTTAGGGTTAAGGGTTCGAGGATCCTGGTTCTTCTTTTGGGATGAGCGAAACTTTTGGGGGCCAGACAAGATCTTCAGAACCCCAGCGCTCACCAACTCGCGCAGGAAGGAATGCTGCCATGGATTGCTTGATGATGGGTTTAGGGTTTTGGGTTTAGGGTTTTGGGTTTAGGGTTTTGGGTTTTGGGTGGTTCCTGCGTTCGGCTGTCCTAGCCAGAGAATCGAGCCCAACATGGTACAACGTCCGCGTTGAGGCTGCGATGGAGCCGAAGACCTCCGGTAAACTTCTCGCTTTAGGGTTTAGGGTTTAGGGTTTAGGGTTTAGGGTTTAGGGTTTTTTCAGGCTTAGAGCTGGTCAGGGATGTTTCGTGCTGAGCTGCTTGGTGCCCCCGACTGGTCAAACTCAAGCCTCCAACCTAGGGTTTAGGATCAGGGGGACCCTTGGGGAATATACCCTAATTCAGAATGATGATCCTCAGCATAAATTAGGGTATATATTCCTCAATTAAGGGGTTTTGGAAGATCTGGGTATATGACCCCAATTTGAGTGCTCATATGTTCAGGGATATGATTAGGGGGACCCTTGGGGATATAGACCCTCTGAATAAGGTCCCTGTTTAAGAGAGCCAGAAGAGGGTTCAGAAGGGTTCCCCTTTAAGGGTCCCCCCTTATCCTACCTAGGACAACCTCGAATCCACTGACGCCGGCCTAGGCACTCGCAGGATTTCGCCAAGGACCACGCTGTCATGCCAAAGAGGCATCGTGTCCAGAACCGAGAACCCTACCCTTCCATAAACTCCAGCCATAAACTGTAGCCTGGACTGAAGATAGTCAACCCTAAAACCCTAAAAACCCAGGCCTGTACACAGTCGATGATCAGTATCAGAAAGCCTTTTTAAGGGTGTTAGGGTTTTAGGGTTTCAGGGTTCTTCTGGCAGAGTCGTTGCAGGCCAGTTGCAATTAAAGGGTGTAGGGTTTAAGGTCTTAAGGGCTTTCAGGCTTTGAGGGGTTTTGGCGGCCATCTCCCCCCCGCCCGAAGCCCTCAAGCCGTTGTGCCGCATGCGCCACAGGCTGACACATCTGGCCCTGGCAGTCGTGGAGATTGCGCAGAGGCGATGGCAGATATGGCAGACTCATGGTAGATAACAGGGAAAGAGACTAGGACGCAGAGTAGGCCCCCGCTTCCCTTTCTTAGGGTTGAGGTTGGCCTAACCCCTAAGCCCCCTGCTCCCCAGGTCTTCCCACCCTAACCCTGCAACCAGCCGGGAGGAAAAGAACAAAAAACACCCTGTACAGCCACACAGGCCCTTACCTCAATGAGGAATGCACCTCAGATCCTGATGACGGTTTGAGAAACATAAGGCTCACAAGGGACAAAAGAAAGGTTTTTTTCATAGCCGATGAAGCCTTCGTAAACAAGGCAGAAAAAATGCAGAAGAAAACCTTAAGCAACTGTGGGATCCGTGGGAACCCTGTTCTCAGCCGAGCTGCAGGACGCTGGAGTTTCTGGCACCGCCACGGCCCGAGCGTGCAGAACACTCCAAAGAGGGTTCAGGGCTGAGGGCTTAGGCTCTTTCTGTAAATAAGTAGATATACAGAATAAGCAAATATACCTCAACAAATATAGATAAATAAATATATATATATATATACATGTATACATCGTATCGGTAAAGGGTATAGTAACATGGTGAGAATGTTTAACATGGGGTGTCCTTTGGCTTTGTCCTGACGTTTTTGGCTGCTTCACGTCGTATACATGCTCTGTGTGGGCGTTGCCCCGCAGGTCTGAAGAAAGTATGTAGCCATAATGTTTATTATACGTATATACATATATATATATATATATATATATATATAATTTGTTTCTATGCCCATGCGCATATATGTATATCTCTCTTTATGTACTTATGTATTTATGTAAATGTATATATATATATATATATATATATATATATATATATATACATATATATATATATCAATAAATGAATACATATACAGATATGTATATATTGATTTTGTTATATTCTTGTTCGCCTCTCAGGAACTCTGCAGAAGGGGCTGGTGGTCCACTGCCAAGCCCGGGCCTGGAATGGGGTCTACCTTGGAGGTTTAGGGTTTAGGGTTTAGGGTTTAGGGTTTAGGGTTTTAGGGTTGAGGGTGCCCCGGTGCCCCAAAAACCGGCACCCAAGACAACGCCGAGGCCCATCCCGGCGACGCCTTGAGGTGCTCCTGGCCGCCCTGGGCGTCCAACCCCCTCTAATGGCACCTCGGCGCAGAGGGGGACTGGTTCAAGGATGTTGCTTGTTGGTTTTTAAGGTTCCCAGAGCCATCGGTGAAGTTTGCCCAGATAGTGTGGTGGATTGAGACGGGCATGAGCACTACAGGTCTACAAGGGGTCAAAGGGCGGAGCATTGTGAAGCCTGTTGGGAGAATGGCATGGTACATGGACCCTTCGAGATTTTTGTTCTCGAAGCATGAACCCTAATAGGGTTTTATGTTGGGTTCGGCCGGTCCACACTAACAGTCAAATAACGCCGTGGCCTTATAACACACAGGCCAAAAATAGCACCAGGAATCCCAGTCAATTTTAGCATTTACCGGGTGCTTCTTTTTGTGGGTCTGCTGGTGGTGACTGTTAGTCACATAGCAGCAGAAATAGCACCAGAAATAGCACAAACAATAGCACAAAAAATAGCACCGGAAATAGCGCCAGGAATAGCACAAAAAATAGCACCAGAAGTAGCACAAACAATAGCACCAGAAATAGCACCAGGAATCCCAGTCAATTTTAGCAGCTTAGCATTTACCGGGTGCTGTTTTTTGTGGGTCTGCTGATGGTGATTGTTAGTCACATAGCACCAGCAACAGCACCAGAAATAGCACCAGAAATAGCACCAGAAATAGCACAACAAATAGCACCAGAAATAGCACAAACAATAGCACAAAAAATAGCACCAGGAATAGCACAAAAAAATGCACCAGAAATAGCACCAGGAATAGCACAAGGAATAGCAGGAATCTCAGTCAGTTTTTTGGCATTTACCGGGTGCTTTTATTTGTGGGTCTGCTGGTGGTGACTGTTAGTGTGGACCGGCCGAACCCAAGTTTTATGGTTCATATACCTTACGGGGGATTTGTTGTCGTGTCGGGTGGATAAAGCAAGACCTGGTCCCTGAGGTCTGCAATGCACAATCATGTCGCGAATCAGTTGTCCCGCCCTGTGCCTGCGGAGTGCTACTTCGGTAGTGGCAGTGTGGGTGGCAGAACAAATCCTAAACCACTATCCCCATGCAAACTGTCCGAAGTTGACCCTCACCGCGATATCGCCCCCCTGTTGCACTATGGTCGACTACAGAACGCCGTCTCTCATCCTGAAGTGTTACCCTTGCTTGGTTTGCCTGACCTTGCACAACAGTCAGCTGGCGGGTGGAGCAAACCCCTGCACAACGTGCATAACGGTGGCTTCTTTTTGCTTCCATATTGTGGGGGGGGGGGGACTATCGCTTATATGAGTCGCTCAGAATACGCCTCAAAAGGAGCCCTAAACCCTAAACCCTAAACCCTATGCCTTATACACCCTCAAGTGCGAGCCTTCGCAGCCCTTGCATCGGCCGAGGTCAAGGACGCCAACGCAACGGCAGAGCCGCAGCAGGCCGTGCGCTCTGGAATGAGCAGGGGCCACTTGGAGGTTCATGGTACTTAGTAACCAATTACAACTGTACTTATAACTGTACTTATAACTGTACGTATAACTGTACTTATAAGCCCCTGAAGTGCCCTAATATGTTTATAAGTGCAGTTATAAGTACAGTTAGAATGAGTTAATAAGTACCATGAACCTCCAAGCAGGGACAACAGGGCTGAATAGGGCTTGGGGTTTAGGGCAGTTGAGGGTTGAGGAGTTAGGGCTTGAAGCGGTTTTGAGAGGGTGTAGGTACGTCTCGGGCATTAAGGGTACGTCGAAGGACCCTGGAGTAGTTCATGCGCTTCCTTCGGCTGCAGCTTTGCCCCTCCCTGCCTTCAAGAAACGCGTTTTAGCATGCGCCAAGTTGCTTGAACCCAAAACCCCAAACCCTAAAACCCTAAACCCTGTGATAGGAGCCTTTCAGGGCTCAGAGTTGTAAGCTGTAAAGTGAGCCCTACGCTCAAACCCTGCCACTCTGGAACTCCACCTCACACTTTGTGAGCGTTGGGTTCAGGGCTTAGGGTTTAGGGTGTAGGGTTTAGGGTCAAGGGTAAAGGGTAACAGGGTAAGGGTAGCGAGGTAGCGTTATAGGGCGGGCAGAAGTCCCCGAACTACAGGTAATTAGATAGGGGGGACCCTCCCCTAGGGTTACCACAGCCCTAAACCCTAAACCCTAAACCCTAAACCTCAGGGTTTAGGGCTACCACAGCCATGCAGCCGGATGGCGAGCCTCGCTTCGAGCGCGTGGGAATTCTGGGAGTCCCGGTGGCCCGAGAAGCGAGTGACCTCCTGGGAGACCGGTTACCTGTCAAATCTAGGGGTTTAGGGTTTAGGGTTTAGGGCTACTATCTCAGGGTAGTTCTATGGGCCCTGAATATGTTCCTTGTTTTGCCTTCTTGCCTTCTTGAAAGAGTTCTAGAGTGTGGGCCCTTGGGTTGTATGGGGTATGTAAGGGGTAAAAAAGAGGCCCCTCAACGGGCCCATACTAAGGGACCATGAAACCATAATGCGCTTAGTTTAAGTGGTCGGAATCATTGCTACCCCCCAAAACCCAATTCGAACAATTAGGTCGAATTAGGTCCCAATACTAGACCTGAGAAGGAGTTCGGTTTTAGGCAGGTTCTTGGCCGAAAGCACTAGCAGTCCATCATAGCCTGTTGACGCGTGGGGTGGGGGGTGGGGAGAGCATGAGAAAACAAACGGGGCAGCATCAGAAGAATGAATTTCAGGAAGCCCAGAAAAGTTTCAGAAGAACAGTGGAAGCAACGTTCAGAAAACATCTCGAAGCACGAATTTGAAAGAACTGGCTGCAGCCAAATGGCGCCTTGCCGTCATGGTGGTGCTGCGGCTGCTAGTGCTTCATGATTCCAAAGAGCCCAATACCCCTTAATTAAGGAATATACCTTAAACCATATTAAGGATCCCTATATAAATCAAGCAATATTCCCTAATTAAGGGATATTGGGCTCTCTGGGGATTTGGGGTCTCGCCACAGGTCTCAAAAGCCGCAGAAGCCCACGCGCCAGCTGGCTGAAGGAAGCTTCCAGGTGGGACCTGCTGTCTAATGTAAGGGCCTTAGTAATCAGACTAGGTCTTCTGAGTTCTGTGTGCTAGGACCCAGAGCAGGCCCTATTCCTTTGTGGCAAAACTGGCCTAAATCATGCGGGTGCCAAAAAATGACCTAAATAACAAGCCATTCTTCCCTTCTTAATTTGCTGAAACAAAAGAAGTTCTAAGGGGAGAATAGCGGCTTTTGAAAGCCGAAAAGCCAAGAACGCGGAGCCCGCAAGCTTGCCTTAAACCGCATCCGAATTTCGGTTTAGGGTTTGGGGTTTGGGGTTTGGGGTCTGGGGTCTGGGGTCTCGGGGTTGGGGTCGAGGGTTGCCTCCCCCAAAAAATCGTCCTCAAGGCATACATACATGGACGTCATACATGCGCAGCGCGTAATCGCAGACGCAGCCACTGCTACCCCGACAGTTGGGATGTTCCCCCTTTTGCTAACAGTGCTTAATAGGGATGATAGTAAGGGGGGGGGTACTATAATCCCTATTAAGGACTGTTAGCATAAGGGGGAACATCTCAAGATAGCAGCTGCTACCCTAAACCCTAAACCCTAAACCCTAAACCCTAAACCCTAAACCCTAAACCCTAAATACCCCCAAAAAAGCATCGCCGAAGCAGGTGGCTGTCAAGTCGGCCCTTACGGGAAAGCTTCTGGCCGTTGAGTCTGCGGACTGCACCTTCCGCTGCACCTGCATATGGGCTTTTCTCCTTCGTGCCCTATAGGGCTCCAAGCATAGAAATAATTCCTACATTGGGTCTAAAGTCGGTAGATAATACCTACTTTGGGCTATTTAGAGGCTTGGGGGTGTAGTTGCTCGTGGTTAAGATACGGCTTATATAGGGCTTAGAATATTTAGGGTGGTTTGGGGTGATGCAGGGCATCACGTGAACCGCGAAGACGGTCTGTGGACACTTCATGCTGCGTTGGTGGGTATGTACTATTCGTAAATCTGCTGCTCTTCGCGTGTGCCTTGTGTTTCGTATCCAGTGCCACTCGAGTTCCTGAAGCCTCGCCCAGCGAGGGTCGAAGCCCCACACTGCAAGTCTCTGAGGCATCACCACCGCCCTCGAACTCAGCTTGCTGGTTCAGGCAGTGTTGGGTTCAGTTCAGTGGGGGAGGGCCGCAGGGTAGGAGCATCCCACCAGGAGGCCTTGTAGGCTTTGAGAGCAGGGACGAACCGGCGTGTCAAGTGTCGCTGACAGTGCCGCAGGCCCGGCACCAGCTCGCCTGTCGACCGCTGCTCTTGCTGGATGACGAGGTCCTGAATCCTCTCCTCCGGCTGGAGCAGGTGCCCGCAGCACAGCGAATGTCGGCATTTGATTAAAGGCAAGGATGACCCCAACCTCAACTGCACGAACATGTAGCACTTTTTGGGGGTGTGCGGTTGGTTGTCGTTCTCTGCTTCCCATACATGATTGATGTGGTTGGGTTTTGCTGCCTCGAAGATGGTGCTCATTGGGCAAATGGGTCTTTTTAGTAAGTCGGCTAGAGAGTAGGAGAGGCTTAGCGAATGCCTAAACCCTAAACCCTAAACCCTAAACCCTAAACCCATGTGCCTGAGGGCATCCCCGTCATGCCAGGTTGGCGTAGAAGCAGGCAGCCAGCTCCTGGCCGTGCTCACCGAGCCGGCGGCATTCTGCATCGCGGGTCTGCCTCTTGGTAGCTGAGTGAGCACACTCTGCACATTTTTGGGATACTTTGTCGGATACCATACTCCCCTATTTATTACACTTTTGGGATACTGTAATCCCCTATTGTAAAGGATTCTATAATCCCCTTTCGAACTGAAGGTGTACACTTTCTTGGGGCTTATGAACTCAGCAACTAAGGCCGGAAGTCGGATGGTCAGATCACAAAGCCTTGTGCAAAGACTTGAGCCTTTCCTGGGACTCTCTTTACCTACAGTTTCCTAGTAGTAGAGCAGGTAACCTTTAACCTTTTTGGGGTAGTATAATCCCCTTCTAATCCCAAAGGTTGACCCTTAATTCTGCCAAATTGCTGGACAACTAAGGTTTTATGGAGTTCTACCTACTAATGAAGGGGTAGTTACGATTAATCTGTAGGGAAAAACCAGGTCCAAGGTTGGCGTTGAAGGGTTCAAGGGGCCTGAGGATCAGGGTTTAGGGTTTAGGGTTTAGGGTTCACTGAAGACTACCAGGTGGCTCTCATGTAGATGGGGGGTTTTGCGATAGTAGGGGGTGCCTTCCTGGGGTCCGGATTTTCAGGGAATCCTACTATGTGGGGGGCTATATTAGGGTTTAGGGTTTAGGGTCTAGGGTTTAGGGTTGATTTTCGTAACTCCCAGACAGGATTCCATGTCAAGAACTGAAGGAACCACTTGCTGCGCTACTACATCCACACCACCCCGCCTGTTGCTCCTTACCTTCCCTGCTTACCCAGTGGTCGCACGCAGCGCTTCATCATTGTGACCCTGAGCGCGCCTTGCTGCATCTCGTTGTGTGGTTTGCTTGACAGCTTCTGTATACAGCTTATTAATGCGTTCACATGTTCACTTATAATTATAATATTGAGTTCTCTTCGTAACAGTATGAATGAGCCCCAATATTAATACTTTTCAAGGGGCTCTTTGTATATAGAAGGTTGCAGACGATGTCGTTGCAGACATTGTGACATAGAGCCGCTGAAGCAAGCATCTCGTGTCATGTCCTGCGGCGAAGAAGACAAACAACTGAGGATATGGACGAGGTGCAGCACTTGGTCCGAAACATCAATGGTAGGGCTGCCACCTTGTGCGGGACCGTGAGCACGCTCATGGCCTTTGAAGTCAGCGACGCCAATGCCATCTTGGGAGAAGGCCTACATGATCCTTAGGGGTACTTGGGAAATAACTTTTATTTTTGGGGCACTTTTAATTCTTAAGAAACAGCAAAGCCCAAAGAATCCTAAGTACCTATATGGGGGACACTCACCTTAACCATAATAGTCATTCCAATTATAGAAACCCCTACTTTGTACTATGTAGGTACTTAGGACCCTTTGGGAAGATTGTGATTCTTGCTAGGGCTCCAAGTGCAGTCTAGGATCTGCGCCTCGCCATCAGCAAGGAAGCCAAGGCCTGGAGGCAAGCCGTGCAAAGCAAGCTGGACTAGCGGCGGCCCGGCTTCTTGAGGGTTTAGGGTTTAGGGTTTAGGGTTTAGGGAGACCCGAGGCGCCGTGGGCGGAGAGTTTGGTTCGAAGCTGCGCCGGCCAGCTCACAGGACGGCACGCCTGGCGCGCGCTGGCGCGATCTCCAGGATGAACTTGCTCACACGGTTGCCATGGACGAGCAACTTCGGTTGGGTGGACATGGTCTGACTGGCAGGGCATTCCTGCCGGGCAGGCAGCCACATGCTGCTAGAGCGCCCACGAATGTTTCTCAGAGAAGGAACCTTTCTCAGCTGACTGCCGGAGTGCGCTAGGCAAGCGCAGGAAAAATCAAAATCAACTGCAGAGTAAGCCCTATAAACCCTATAAATCCTACAAGCCCTAAACTCTTGTGCTTCAAGGAAGGATGGAAGGAAGGAGGGAAGGAAGCAGAGAAAGCATGACGAGAGAAAGATAGACGGAAGAAAGCAAGGCTCATGTGTTTGTAGGGTTCAGGGTTTCCACCGCTTAGCAGGATTCAGGGTGTCGGTCTGGGTGCAGGGTGCGCAGGCTTGGGCACTATTATTAGCGTTTAGGGCTGCTGGGGGGCTTAAGAGCCGTTCGGTTCCTCGATGTTGAGAACTGTTCAGGGGTCACAGGACCGGGTGCTTCAGATCTGCAGCTTTCAGAATGAACCTACTTAGCCAACATCTTTCATCTTTTTTTTGTGTTTCCTGATTTCGTAGGAACAAAAAAGCTGAATCCTAGCCTAAACCCTAAACCCTAAACCCCAAACCCTAAATCTTGCTTTTGTTTTCAAATTGCTTGGTTCGTAGGAGAAGCAAGAAGGCCTAAACATTGCCTGCTGTGCCGCAGGCGATGAAGTTGGACGAGATCTTCGCTGAGGACTCTCTGTGGGGTGTTGCTAATCAGTTCATCGGGGTGTGGGGTTTAGGGTTTAAGGTTTAGGGTTTAGGGTTTAGAGTTTAGGGTTTAGGGTTTAGGGTGAGAATACCTGGGACCTCAGAGCTTCAAGTCCTAGAAGATGCATCAAAAGCCACCCCAAAACCTAAACCCTAAACCCTAAACGCGCGAAGCAGCCTCTGCAGCTGAGGATCAGCTACTTCTGCAAGCGACCTTGACAGCTTCCTTTGCACCGTTCCTTGGGCTGGCTTACCAGGGTGCTGCATGACAAGGTCCCTAAACCCTAAACCCTAAACCCTAAACCCCCTAAATTAAATCAGGGCCCCCTTCAAGGTGTGCCTCGAATCATGTTCGGCCCGTATTATCATGGGCGCCCAAAGAGGGCGCATGATTTCGATAAGCTGGCTGGTTCTTAGTAGGGAATGAGGCAAGGAGGGCCCCCCCCCCCCTATATATATATATACATAAGTATATATATATATATATACTTCTGTATATATATATATGCCCTTTAAGGGATTATGTAGGGCCCGAATTGCCTTTAGTCCCTACTAAGAACCAGCCAGTAAGTGGCCGCATGGGTTTTAAAATCAGCCCAACTCTTCCCAGGTGAAACCCTTTTTTTTTGGGGGGGGGGGGGGGGGTTGAAAGTTTTGGGGGGTGGGGTGGAGCCCTGAACCCGAAGCCCTAAACTAACCCCCTAACCTTGAAGCCCAGAACCCTAAACCCTAAACCCTAGATTTGGTTGTGTGTTCACTGCCTACTGAACTGAGACGAGAACCCCTGCACCCAGTCCGACTGATATAGCCAATTTCCCTGCAGAGTGTCCGAGAGGTCAGCTAAGCGGGTGGCAAAAAAGCAAAACCCTAGATTGCCTAGGGGTAAACCCTAAACCCTAAACCCTAAACCCTAAACCCTAAACCCTATCCTTGGGAACCTGGGACCCTGGGTGAGGCTCCACGAGCTGCCCTAAAGTGGTTGCATCAGAGCCCCATAAACCCTAAACTTGGGACCCCTCATATATTCCTAACAGTTCTTCGTAGGGATTTTTTTCGGGGTACTTATTCCCTATTCTGGATTGTTAGTATAAGAGGGAAGATCCCGACCCTAAACCCTAACCAAACTTGGGTTTTTTCTAGGGAATCAGGGTTGAAGTGCGTTTTTTACATGTCCATAAGAAGGTCGTCCCTGAACTCTGAACCCCTTTGACCTTCAAAATCAGCCCTCGGACGTCGCCAGGTTCTACGCCCACGGGATAACAAGATGCGCGGCACCTAGAAATGCCTGTTTTGACCCTGAGTACCCTCAACTTACAAGCTTTAGGGTTTAGGGTTTAGGGTTTAGGGTTCTTTCGGAAGAAGGGATGGGTGTAGGGTTTAGGGGTTTTGGCCCTCAGCCCCGCATCCCATAAAGTATAATTAAGCGATGAACCTTCTTTTCCAGGCATGGACTACAACTCCGCCGTCAAGGGTCCGCAGGCAAGCCGAAGGACGTCAAAAAGCGCGGGCCTCTGAACTGAACACCCCCGAAAGCGCAGGTGCTCCGAGTGGACCCCTCCAAAGGTGCTTACACAAGTTAGCGACCAGTGGCTTCGCTATCTACCACTAAACGTCAAGCCCCGGAGTTAAATTTTCAAGCCTGCGCCCTAAACTTTGTAGCCTTAAGCTCTAAACCCTAAACCCTTTTTGGGTTTACAGGTTACCCGAAACCATGAGAAAAGTACGAAAAAACAGGAAAAAACACGAAAAGCAAGCTTGGACCCTTATAGGTTGCATGGGCGCCCTTGGTTTGAGATTTCGGGGCTCCGCAGCGTTGGCAAGCTGAGGTCTCGACGACACGGGCAAGGATACCTCAGAGGAGCAGGCGCTCCCGGGTTTAGGGTTTAGGGTTTAGGGTTTAGGGTTTGGGGTTTAGGGTTTGGGGTTTAGGGTTTAGGGTTTAGGGTTTAGCCCCCTTGTGCGGATTCTCGGAATTTGGCTGTCATTACTATTGACGATTATTATTGCCATGTATACTGTTCTTGTGATCCTGATATTCTGATTATGTTTTTTTTTTTTTTTTTTTTTTTTTTCGTTGTTGTTGTGGTTACTATTGTTAAAGGCCTTTCTCAATGATGTAGGCCCCAGGAACCTTCTTGAATGAGAAGAGATCTGGCTGGATGCGGTCTCCTTTAGAAGGTTGCAGGGACCCACCCTAAACCTCTAGCCCCCTCCGGAAGTAATTTAGTTCTGTTTTAAAACCTAAAGGGAATGGTCCAAAATATTAGTTTAGTTCTGTTTTAAAACCTAAAGGGAATGGTCCAAAATATTAGTTTTTGTATTTTGTTTAAGGCCCTGAAGGGAGCAGAGGAGCCTGCGCAGGCCGAGGCGCAGGCGGTCATGCTTCAGGCAGATCCTCAGATCGCCAAGGCTGGGGACGGGGGGCGCAGGGTACCATATATAGACCACCATATGCAAAAGTTAGGGGACAGAGTTACCTAGCTTTTTAGAACTCATATTGGTAGGCCACATTTAAGGCCCTTGAATTTATGCTTTTTAACCTTAGCCAAACCCTACCCTCCCCCCCCCCCCCCTCCCCCCCCCCCCCTCTCCCCCCCCCTCCCCCCCCCCCCCATCCCCCTCCCCCCCCCCCCCCTCCCCCCCCCCCCCTCCCCTCCCTGCCACAATGGCAAAGACCGATTTCCTGTTGGTGCTTCTGGGCTTCATGCTTCCAAGGTGGAGCATGACGATCCCACACCCTTTTGTCGTAACATCGGGATTGGGTCCCCAAAAACCCGTGAAAAGCAAAACCCCAAACCATAAACCATAAACCCTAAACCCTAAGCCCTAAGCCCTAAGCCCTAAGCCCTAAGCCCTAAGCCCTAAGCCCTAAGCCCTAAGCCCTAAGCCCTAAGCCCTAAGCCCAGAGCTGGAGGTCCATACCCAAGCATTGTCGAAGGCGGACGTCCCGCCCTTTGCGACATGTTGGCCGCAGACGATTTCTTCATTCTGTACGTGAACAGTCCTTAAGGGATTTCCCTAAAGCACTGAAGGTCCATGTACCTACATAGGGAATACCTGGGCTTTAACGTACTTCCTTGTTAAGGACTTTGGGGCCCAAGTATGCAATAATGAGGTACATGGACCCTTAGGGTTATAGTCCCCCCCTAATTATAATCCCTATTAAGGACTGTCAGTATAAGAGGAACATACCAACGTGAAATCCTAAAGCCCTCAGCCCTTCCCAAAGGGTCCATGTACCTATATGGTATATACCTGGACCTTAAAGCGGTCCCCATATACTAGCATCTAGGGCCCAAGAAAGATACTATATGGGTACATGGGCCCTTAGGGTTTGAAAAGGGTTTCGGGTTTAGGGTTTAGGCAAAAGGGTTTCACGACCTGGAAATGTCTCAGTCAGACGTCTGAGGGTCCGAAGGCTTTCGGAACTTTCAGCCCTACCACCAGGAAACTCTGCGGGAAGTTTCTCTTGGTTGGTGCCCTCCCAATGTTTTCAGAGCGTTCTGTATCCGATCCAATGACTTCTGAACCCTAAACCCCCTAAACCCTAAACCCTTAAACCCCTAAACCCCTAAACCCCTTAACCCCTTAAAGCCCTAAACCCCGAAACCCCTAAACCCTAAACCCTAAACCCTAAACCCTAAACCCTAAACCCTAAACCCTAAACCCTAAACCCTAAACCCTAAACCCAAACCCTAACAGGGCAGTTTAGAGTGCTAGCCATGCTCGGCGCCGTGCTTGACCCCTTGACCCTACAGCCCTACTTCGCAGTGCACAGAGCTTTGGCATGAAAAGCGCTTCTTTATGGTTCCTGTGTAGGGTTTAGGGTTTAGGGTTTAGGGTTTAGGGTTTAGGGTTTAGGACCAAGGAGTGTTTATTTGCGCACGCGTGCCCCTTGCATCCGCCACCAAGCACACAGCAAGCCCGAGCTTAAACCGGACGTGACTGTTCAGGTAAGTGTGAGACAACCAGCCACCTTAAATCCACAAGCCCTATATCCCTACACCCTATATCTCTATAATCTCTATAATCTCTCTAATCTCTATATGACCTTAAATAGCATGTGACTCTGCCATGCTTTCGCGAACATGCCCCGGGGTGCG